TCAATGAAGTTGAAACGAAATAAATTAGGTTTTTCATTAAGAGAAACAGTAACCCTGAGATAGCTCGTAAAAAGCCACATAAAATTTCCAGAAAGCGGTAGCATCTAATAGTAGTGGCAAATGATTTTATCCGATTAATCCTCCAATAGTCCTTCTCAACAACGAAAATTAAATAGTAAATAACCAAATTATACTGAGGAATTGGTGTCCATTAGAGCTGGAAGTTATCTTACCTGAAACTGCCGGTGGAAAGCGTGCGGCTGGAACGGAGACAGTGACCTTGAAGTGTGAGCGACAGTTAAGGAGAACGTAGAGCACGGAGGAGAGAGGTGGTGGAACACCGGAGTTTACCGACCTCGGTCGGTAACCGCGGCGCCAAGCCATTGTTTCCGCTTTAGGAGTGTTTTGCGATCGCTTGTTTAAAATAAATTAATGATTTTTTGTAAAACTTATCATCAAAATACATGGTAATAAATCGGAGTTCTATAAAAAAATGTTTGAATTAGTTTATACGGTATCAAATATAATAAGTTGATAAGTTATTTTTCAGTGTTTAACAAATTTTGCTTATACATGTAAAATTACCAAAAAAGACATAAAGAAAGAACGAACTATTGTCGAAGGTCTCTTATGTGATGAAGAACCCTAAACCCTTTTCAAAAAGTAATTTTGAAGGAAGAACGCTAAACCTTTTTCGATTTTTCTGTAAAAACTTGTTGAAGGTTTCAATAGAAGGTTCGATTTTGATTTCTGTAGGTGAAGGTTTCGATCTCCGTAGGTAAAGGTCTCGACCGGTTTATGTTGATGGAGAAGAAATCACAACAAGAAATCTGGTTCGATTTTTGTAATTGGTTCGAATGTGTGATTTTGATCTCTGTAGGTGAAGGTCTCGACCAGTTTCTGTTGATGGAGAAGAAATCACAGCAAGAAATCTGGTTCGATTTATGGAATTGGTTCGATTTCTGAGGAATTGTTGGAGTTACCTTGATGAACTGGTTGCTTGAGGAAGAAGACGTATGAACTGGTTAAAGGAAGGAGGCGTACGAGGTTAAAAAGGTAAATTAGTTTTCAAACCTAATAAATTGAATCCGATAAGTTAAAGGGGAATAACTTATCAAAAACTCATTATTACCAGTTTGACACCGATATAAGCATCTCCCCCCTCCCCATCTAAACACTAAAAACCATTCTTCATATCGGCTATCACGTTGCTGACTATTGCTATCAATCTTCCTATTTTTGATCTATTTTTAGAGGGTTACAAGTTTAAAACATTTCTAGTACGTTACAAATATTTTTTTTTTTTTTTGTTAAAATGATGTAAGTAATCAATTTTTAAAAGTTCGATGGTTTGTTGTATTGAAAAAAATGTTCATAGACTTAATCATTCAAAATGAAAAAGTTTAATGATTTTTTCATTCAAAAAATTAGTTTGTGGTCTTGATCATCCAAAATGAGAAAAATTAATGTTTTTTCCAATCAAAAAAACAGTTAAAGGACTTAATCATTTAAAATGAGATGTTTAGAAATTTTATAAATTATGAAAAATTTGCTCCAACAACTATGTTAAACCCTTCTTTAAAATATGAAAAAAAATAACATATATCTATTGGAGATGCTCTTATAAATTTTATTACAAGTTTATAACTACTCAAATACATTAATTTTTCAGTATGATCCTGTTTTATATAATATATTTAATTACTAAAAAATGTAACAAACATAGCGAGATTGACAAATTTTAAACTCTACATGAATTTATCGCTATTTTACACGACCAAGATTTAAAAAAATGCATAAACTATGTTTGTCAACCAAATTTATTCAGTGGTCGTAATGTAATTAGTTAGTGTGGAAAAAGCGAACGAACCCCAGATAGAGAAAGCGGACCAAGGGGAGATTCCACTGGCCTTGTTGGGTCACTTCACTGTCTACAAGCTTTGCCTTTTCGGACTAATGGTTGATTGGTGGAATCATCTCCCCTTTAACGACGGAGCCAGGACAATGTGGACAAAAATATTTTGAGAGAAAGACATAAGTGGTTTCCTTGGGGACAATTTCTCTCATTGAAGACCTATTGATTCTAAAAATTGTGGATCATTCGGAAAGTCTTTGCAACCGAGTGACATGCCATATTTGAATAACGATTAGGCTTTTCGATAAACATAGAAGTATTTTTCGTCTTAAATCTCACATCTTGCGATGAGACTAAGGCTATGTTTGGCAAACTAACCGATAAACAAATCATTCTTAGCAAAACTAGCTGATGAGAAGGTAAATGACCAAAAATGATGTCTTGAAAAATTAATCAATTAACTAATACAAACAAGAGGGTAAAAAAATTTAAAAAATATAATATTTTGATTGAAATAATTTCAAAATAAATTATTATATAAATTATAATATTTGAATTTACTCAAAAAAAAATTAGAAAAAATATGTTATTTATGATTTTAATTAACTGTTACGTATAATATAAATAAAAATAAAATTGATTTATCTCACGTATCCTAATTAATTTTTATTTTAGAAAAATATATTTAATAATTAAATTAAATATTTTATTTAAATTATTTAACATATTTTTTTTATCTATGAAACAAAATACGTATGACTTTTAATCTCTATGTTATTTAAATATTATTAAAATTGTTATATATGTGTTTTGATAACTAAAATATTTAATAATAATTAAAATAATTAATATTTGAAAATAATTAATATGATTAATAATTATTATAATTGATTGATATATAATATTAGTGTATAATGTAAAATTAAAATTAATTAATAATTAATTTTCAATTTATTAATATTAGTAATATTTAAATTTTATTAATAATAAATAATAATAAACATTAATGGAAGTTATAATTGAAAAAATGATTATAAGCTATTAAAACGCTACTTGGAGTAGCGTTTCAATAAGCTAGCTTATAAGAAAGTTTATGTGCATCCAAACGTGTACCCATAAAATAAACTAGCTTATAAGTTATCCTATTTTTGCCAAACAGTACCTAAGTGTCGTACATCATGAATTCATCGTGATAGAAACCTGTTAATATTAATATCGTCGATATCATGAGATTTCTTTATTTTATAAAAGTATTATTCATAAACCGATAATTTACAGTCATGTTTGATAATCACAGACAAACTTATTTTCTGAATTGAAAAAACCATGGATGGCTGATAAAATAATTTGTCGAAACACTGCTTGCCTACTCATAAGTTTCATAAATTTTTTATCACTTTCTTCCAATTATGCGTCTCATACTTATTAATTGTTATTAAGCATTAATTATTTTAATTTTACTGTAAGATAATAAAGTAGTTATTAAAGTTGAATATAGTCAAAAAGGTTTTTAACCTAGCGATATCTGAGTTTTTGACATACTAGGAGGTCAAGGGTTCAAACTTCACCAAAGGTGAAGAGGGTGTGCAAGTTTATTTCTTCTATTTACCATATACAAATATTATATCTTTAAAAAAATTGAATATAATTTTTTTAAAGATTTTGACTATTGATACTCTATTAAATCAATTTTTGTACATATTATCATTTTATTATTTTCAATTCATCAAATTAATAACCTACATAAAACTTTACAACGATAGTTTTTATAGAACCCATTTTATAGGTCCCGTATATAATAAAAATTAAATAAATATATACATATTAATAATTACATGTGCTTATAATTCAAAAAAATATATAAAAAATTAAAAATTACCATTTCACACGAACTCCAAAAATATAACGAAAACTTTTTATAATAATAGTTCTTATAAAAAGCTAAATTTACAGCTTATAAGAAGATGTTTTAAGCAACAGAGTACACGGTACAACTGTATGCCCACATGGATCAAGTACGGAACATCGACGCATCGACATCATTGCTTTAGACCTTGAATACAAAGACAAAACATACGAATTCAATTCAACATACAGTATTATAATATATGATATACTTAAAGGGTTAAATACGCGAAATAGCAACATACTTCTACAAATTTTTTTATTATAACATTAAATTTTTCAGTTTTTTTTTATTACAACAATTACTTTCAATATATTTTTTATTAGATGTAGTACTTTCAAAAATTTACCTATTATAGCATTAGTTAACATTTTAAATTAAATTTACTCATTATACAATGTCTTTTTGCCACCTCATCGTTCATGTAGCCTGTCCACATGTACAATAATGCTGACATGACATTTTTTTTACTAATATTCTACTTTCAAAATTACTTTATTATAACATTACCAATTTCTATTACAATATTAACTTTTAATTTTAATATCTTTATCATTTAAACATTATAAGTTTAATCAAACATGTTTACTAAAAATTATAATATCAGAAACTAAACATGTTTATAAAAGAAAACTATTTCACGAATAAAAATACTCATAAAAAATCATTCATTCATCGAATTTATCATAAATTTCATGACTTATTTTGTAATGCCAAAAACTAAACAAATAAAATATGTTTTTAAAAAAAAAAAAAAACTCACCCTATTCATATTCATCTAGAATATTATAATAATTTTTTTTATTAAAGTAGTTGATATATTTTGCCATATACCTAATTATAATGATGCATGTGTCATATTATCTTATTCACATGTGAATACTCACAATCAACCAAATGCAATCCCAATGTTACCAACTTTATTTTGGTACCCAACTTTACTTTTTAGTATTTTTTGTACAATCATATAACGTGTTATGAAAACCGTACTTTTTGATGATTAAAAAAATGGAAAAAAACCGTGTATTTACATAAAAACGTTTATCAAGTCGCGTTATCTCACCGGATGAATATAGTAAAGATCAAGTATCTTATTCGATAAAAGCAAAACAAGGACCATAAGTCTTACCCGATAAGTAAATAATAGTGTTAAATTTTATCAATAAACATTTACCTGATAAGTGTTTAGGAAACGACTTTTTACATTTAAAAAAAATTGTCTAATATGAAAATTGAGTTGGTTAAAAAAGAGTCACACTTGGCTATTTCAACATTAATTTTTATTTAAAATACATGATTAATCTTACCCAGTTCATAAATATATACTTTTCATATAAAGTACGCAAACTCGATTACTAAAATCGAAGATGACGATTCGACGAGCAATGATTAATCCTTCAAAACCCACATAATTCAATCACGAAACCATCAATTAATCGAAGACGATGATAATATTTGCAGTTGATCATAGTAATCATCACTTGAAGGAACCCAATCGTTTGTTGCAGGGTTTGATTTGAAGATATGATCTCTGTATCCGCCATTAATTCCGATCTGCAACCGGAGATCGTATAAACCATTATCTCCGGTTTCCTCCCTTGCTACCTTTATAAATCCATTCCCTGTCTGCAATTCAACAACCCCAATCAAAAACATTTGCTTAATGATTTCATCAAATGATTCATTACATTAAATCGATGGAAAAGAACAACAAAAACAAACCGTGTGATGCTCTTTATCAATTGAAACCAACTGTTTGTAGTATCCGGTCTCCACGAACTCGTCTTCCACCGTCGTATTACCACCGGAAACTACACCCTGTAATCGTCAATTCGCCGATTAAAAACGATAAATCATCCACAAATCATAACTTAGGATTTTACAGGGAAATTATAGGGGAAACGCACTTGAGGTTGAGATAAGAGGGATCGGAACTTGAGAAGCTCTGGAATAATAGCGATTGCTTCATCGGAGAGTGGTTCCGGTGAGACGTAATCGGGATCACTGCGGTTGGGTTTGGGAGGACGTTTGGGGAGAATTGAATCGAAGTGAGATCTAACTTTTTCGGCGATCTGAAGCTGCTGATCGGAGTCGATTATCTCGTCGCTACGGCTGGGTTTGACGGTGACGGTTGGTTGTCCGACCATGATTACGACGAGAGGAGAGATGTTGACTAGCTTCGGAAAGCGGTGGGGTGAGGGGAATAGAAGCGCCAGAGGTGGATTTTATATCTGGTTTTCAGAGGGTAGCGAAGTGTAATAATTGAAAAGTTGAAGGGTATTTGTTGTACAAATTTTTGGTAGGATTGGGATAAACTATGGGCTGCTTTATTATTGAAAAGCCAGATTCAAATTATAAAGTTCTAGAATATTCGATAACTTTTTCGTAAAATTAATTAAAATAATCATTTTTAACGGTTGGTTTCACCTCTTATCCAATTTTTTACAAGGTTTATTAAAACAGTTTTAGGTCTACAACTTTAATTTTCTTTTGCGGACCTGAGTGAAAAATGTAAGTTTGCTGCGCATATGGGTGAGAAATGTAAACTTTTTACGAATCTGGGGGGAAAATGTAATTTTTTTGCAGGCAAAGGTAAAAAGTGTAATTTTTTTTTATCTTTTACGGGGTCCATAATTGCAGACGTGGGTTTTACAAACCTATAACTATTTTAGTTAACTTTGAGAAAAAAATAACTAGGACCTGAATAAACTTTGAAAAATAGTTATTTAAAAAGAATTCCCATATTTTATTTCATTTTAAACATTATGGCATTTATATTATGAGTGAGTTTAGGGGAATCTAAAAAAACTGAGGAACATTGACTATTTATCTATGCAGTATATACACAATAAATTAAGGATGTTTAATGGTATTTATGCATGTTGTGTATATTTGTAAACATAACAAATTTCTTGTATACATATGTGTATATCGTATATGAATGGTTAATAAGGTCATAGAATGTCACTCAGTTTTTATTTTTTTTTAATAATTTTTTTTTCTAAACTTGACCCTTCATTATTATAATTGTTACTGATTCTAAACAGACACCGTTTTTGGAGCACAACAAGAATTTTTATTCACAAGTAATGTCAGAGGTGTTCGATCACTGATATTCGAACATTGTTCTCTTTCCTTTGTAAGATGATACACAATAGCTAATAATCCGTTTTTGGGGGGAGAGACACTATTTCAACGATCGAGTCACAGGTATCTGACATATTCCTAAGGCTTTTCAAAGTGCTTATTTAGGAGTTAAACTTCTATTTATCCATATTTTGAGTCATAAAAAGAAAAGGAAATAAAGCATGCTTTATTTTATTGGAGCAAACATATAAATGAATGAGCTGAGAGGGGTCGAATTTATCATTTAATTACAATATTAAGGGTTTAAATTCGTTTTGAACAAAAAAATGTCAAATATTACGTCAAGAAGAGGCTGAATGTAAATATCATAAATTTTAGGAGGCCCAATGTCATTTGTTTCAAAGATGGAGGATCTATTTTGCCAACAATACATCTCTGTTTAGAGATGGCGACCTCACAACCAAAAGTCGTGGTTTGGGCACGATTTCTAGTATGCCAAAACTCTTGCATACTAGTATAGGAGAATTTTACTCAAATAGTTATTTGATCAAAGTGATTTCACTTTTTAGTCATTTTAGAAACCATTTTTCTTAAATAGCTAAAGTTTACGCTTATATTTTACACAGAATGGTGGTTTCTGTGTAAAGTGTGTTTTCAGGCAAAAAAAAAAAGAATACATTTTTACGCAAAAAGAAAAATCTCTAAGCAGAAAAGGGTTTTTGCATAAAAATTGTTAAATATTTTTTATACTTTATACCCTTATAATTACTTATTTAATTTACTTTATATCTCTTACCTTTTCATTTTTTTACATCTTTATTATATTAACACACATAACCGTATATTGGAAAAAATACGTTTTTTTTACAAATTATATCATTATAATTATTTCATCAATGCGTTCAAAATATCATAAATACGTATGAATTATTTTTATAACTTACAATTTATACCTTTATAATTATTTATTTAATTTTTTTCGTCTAAAAATATATTTTATGAAGAATTTATACAAAAACTACCTTTTTGCGTAAAGTTTAAGTGTAAACTTTGGCTATTTGAGCAAAATGGTTTCTAAAATGGCTACAAGATGAAATCACTTTAATCAAATGGCTATTTACGTAAATTTCCCATAGTATAAAACACCAGTTGGGAATCATTTGGGTTCAAATGGTTTGAAAAATAAGCATACATCAAAAGAGAAATCCGAGTTCGAGGTTCGGAGTCAAAACTCTTGGTTTTCCGTCAATTTCATGTGAGATTCTCAACCATACTTCAGATTTTTATGTCTATATCTTTGTTTTTGAAAGATTTATCAAACTCTAGAAGCATTATTTTTTAGGTTTGTGTTTAAAAGGGTTAATTTTGAAATTTAAAGTTTTGTCCGGTTTTAAATAAAAAACAAAGTTTTAAATGAGAAATTGGGTTTCATTACTTGACGAAAAATTGAGTTATTTATGTTAAAATATTGATAAAAATGTTACCAAGAGTTTGGTGCAAAAAGAATGTATTAAAACGCCTAAAAATCGAGCCATTTCAAGCTTAAAACTCCTTAAAAATGCATCAATGGCTAGGACTGTAAACGAACTGAACGTTCAGCGAACTGTTCGGCGGAAAATTCGTTTATGCTCATTTATTTAATAAATGAACGGACATAAACAATTTTTTTTTGTTCGTTTAGTTAAACGAACGAACATGAACAAGAGTCTCGTTCGTTCATTTATGTTCGTGAACGTTCGTTCATTTACCGTTCGTTTACGTTCGTTCATTTATGTTCGTGAACGTTCGTTCATTTACCGTTCGTTTATGTTCATTTATATAGTAAATTTAATATATAATCTTTTGTTTATTTACTTTGAATTCAAATAATATTTATTTATGTTCCTTTAGCCCGTTCGTTTATGTTTGTTCGTTTACGTTCGTTTAACATGTTAACGAACGAACATAACCAAATACGAACACACCTGGTTTCTAAACGAACGAACACGAACACAAAAGTTTTCGTTCATTTACCGTTCTGTTCGTTCGTTTGTTCGGTTAAGTTAAACGAACGAACATAAACAAGCCTCCGTTCGTATTCGTTAGATTCGTTTACAGCCCTATCCATGGCTAAAGTGTACTAAAATTTATAGATATTCTTATTAAATATTTAAGCTTTAATAAATTACATTAAAGCCTTGAAACTTCTGGAAATTTAATTTCCGTCATAATATTTTTTTGAATATCTCATAAATATCTTTGGATTTATAAAATGCATGTTTGATCTGATTTCAATTATTTATCTTCACAAAATTATCAAGAAGTCTCTACAATTAAGTAACTGATATTTCAAACAATACCTCATATATCTGGCTTCAAGATATTTTCGAAATATTTATACACTTGGAAGCTGGTATTTCAATTAATTATTTTAAAAGGAGTGAGTACAATAAATCATTTATTTAGGTTATTTAAAATTAAGATTTAAAATCTCATAATAATGTGAGTTATTATCGAGCACTTTGGTTTTAGATGAAGCGTTTATAATAAATCGTTTAATTATTTGATGATTGTTATAATTAGATGAAGCGTCGTACTTGAGTTAAACAATTACCGTGACGCTTTAATTTAGAGAGATGGATTTATAAGACTGTAAAACGTTTATTTTGACGTTTTAGATGGGCGTCGAGTTTTAGACTTCGAGTTTGACTAAAGTTAGTTGGGGTTGACCGAGTTGACCAAGGTTGACTTTTGATACGCGTGACCCACGTGGGTTTTAATGATGGGGCCATATTATAATGCTCGGATATGAAGTTTGACTTTGGATCGGGTCAGATTGACCATAGTTGACTTTTGGATAAACTAAGACATTAATTAGATAATGTGGTGTGAAATGTGTAGATCTTATGTCAGAAGTTGTTGGTGGTTGATCTACGTAATCAGGTGAGTTTTCATGAGACTTACAATAGACACATACATATGTATAAAATTATTTTGTTGTGCTATTATTTTATGGTGGTGAATGCTAAGCATGAACTGGTTTTAATAGATGACATCGGTCATATGTTTACATGTATATGGAGTCTTATGTAGTATGCATGCTAAATGTTTTTCGATTTGAAGCATATTGAATGAAAATACTGCAGAAAATTTGAAACAAACATATTAGGATGTGATTAAAATCACTATCCTTAGAATAATATTAGCCCCCACTAAATGCTGTTAGGTTATGGCTAATTTATTCCCAATATTAACCCAATCTAGATTAATGATACATCAAATCATACATCTCCATGAACATCTATATAGTTGCAGGAGTTGAAGAGAAGAAGAGAAAAAAAATAAGAAAAAGTAGTGCAACGATTCTAATAAGATGTTAGATATAGATATATATATATATATATATGTATATATATATACATATATATATATGTATATATACATATACATATATATATATGTATATATATATATATGGACTATGGGTAACGGAAAAACTGTTAGTGGATAAGATCTTAAACTGCTAGTACTAGTGTTGTCTTTTGATCCATTAACAATTTTTATGTCAACCCAAATCAAGTAGAAAATCAAGCCCAAATCCTCTTTATATAGAATAAGACTTATAAACCACTCTCATATTAGCTCCTCTTTCTATGTAGGACAAAGTTTCCAACTATTGAAGACTATATCCAACAGATATTTAGCATGCTTATGTTTTCAGTTGATTGAAATTGTACAAATGGTACGTAGTTTGGAGTATGAAGTGTCAATTTCGTTCATCACACTTGAGGGGAGGCACGACCCCGAAATAGGTGACTGACTATGTGCGAGTCGTATACACCAAGAAATGCATGTGACATAGAAGCATGACCTCGTAATGGTTTACTGGCTATGGGTGAGTTGTACACACCTAAGGAATGCTTGGAACTTATCAATCGTTACTCGTTGAGACATTTATGAGGTTTCATTTATTTCAGAGTTAAATGTTTTCATAAAATGCATATTATTTTATACAAAGTTTGTATGTTTGATATATATATGACAAGATATAGTTTCACTCACGCAAACTATGAACTCACTGAACTCTATAAGCTGACTATAGATGCATCACAGGTCCATGTAGTTCGAGGTTGGATAAGGACAAAAGACATGCTTAGAGACTTGTTTGTTCTGATCTTAAATACGATTTTTTGTTTAGATGTTTATGTATGGATCAGTTGTAACTTACTT